CTGACTCCGTTACGCTCGAAAAAACATGCTACCGCGAAAAGATCGGCACAGGGGCCGGCGGACCCGCGTGCCGAATCATTCCTAAACGATTTCCTACCGTCTTCCTCGTATTATTCTTCTTCTTCTTTCAAACACGAGGAACTTTTTCTTCCTTCTTCTTCTTCTTCTTCTTCTTCTTCTTCTTCCTCTTCCTCTTCCTCTTCCTTTACCTCATCTTCTTATCTTTCTTTATCACTTTTCGTTTCTTCTTACTTCCTTACGATATTCTTCCCCCCCTTTTTTCTACTTCCTTTCTATCGTTGTCATCTTTTCTTACTTTTGCCATTTGTCATAAACGGTGTGCTTCGTTGATCGCACGTGGATTACTCTTTAATTGATCATAAGAAAAGCTTTCTCATGATCGTCAAACGCCAAAGTGCAACCTCGTGAATCGAGCTTAACGAAGGTTCTGCGTCAGCGACCCCTTGCAAGGCGGTTACCCGTCTCGTCGTAAAGGCGAACCGGTTCGACGAATCGGGAAAAGGTAGGTGGTTCTAAAGAATTGCGACGGTTTCTGACCCTTCCTTTGGCCACCTTTTCTTTTAATCGGTCTTTCACTTTCTTTATTTCTTCCTTCCTTCCTACCAACCAACCAACCAACCAACCAACCAACCTTCTTCCGCTAATATTTCACCTTGCTTTTTATCTTCCCATCTTTTCATAGGTCAGGAACCCGATCTGATTTGAAAATTGCCGCGGTTTTTGCGCGGAAACAAATGCCCGCGAATTTTCCTTAGCTACGATTAATAATTATCAATCACACATATTTTATTTGATATTATTCATCGTAAAATTGTTATTAATGCTTTTAGTAACTGCTGTACTTTCGAAACTTTCTTTTTATCTCGATTGAAACTACCGAGTCTAGGAAGTCTAGGAATGGCAATAAATTAGCTCCGTTTCTCTCGTAGTTGGCACGTCCCCCATTGGCAATCGGAAAATGTAAATACAACGCATAACGTTAACATAATAGATGAAAGAATAAAAAGTAAGACCAATTGCAAGATAGTTGCACCTGAGTACTCGTTAAACGATCGTTAATGACACTAAATAATATCATTTTTCAACGTAAAGAAAATTCCATTCGTTCGAACGATCAATAATTCGATAGATCGATCAAGTTCATTGGAATCTTGAATAAAAATTTATTGAAATATTACATTTCACAAAAGCAATACATACTTATCTTTGATAATCGATTAATAAGAAATTGAAATATTTCATGATGACAAATGATACCATAATGAATCATTTCGTGTTTTTTTTTCTTTGATAAATTATTTAATCGTTAATAAATAAAATGATGACGAATCTTTCGAAATATTTATTAAAAAGGGTTTAAGAACCTTTCGTCTTCTCGCGGCGACAAAAGTTCAAAAGCAGCACCAACAACACCAGCACCCAGCACCAAGCACCAGCAACAGCAGCAGCAGCAGCAGGTGCTGGCGCTACACCTGTCCGCAGGCTGAGAGCACCGGTCAGCTTGTGCACCGAGGTCCGCTCGAAGCGTCGAATTCCACTGTGTTTACTCATTCGAAAAGAACGTTGTTCCAGCCGAAGACTCCCGTAGTCGGCCGAGTCTAAGAGAAACACTCGCGTGTCCTCGATGGCGCTTAACCATTCAAAACTTCTTCGATTCAAACACAAATAAACTTTATATTCTTTAACAATAAGATCTTAATAATGTGTGTATCTATGTGTGTGTGTGTGTGTGTGTGTGGGTATTCAATTTTATATATATTTATATATTTATGTGTTTTCTCTGGGTACGAGTGTGTATAAGAATGTATGATGATTCTGTATGCACAATTTATTTTGAAAAAAAAAAGAAAAAAGAAAGAGAATGCAACAGTCTAGAAGAGGAGGAGGAAGAGGAGGAGGAGGATGGTGAAATAGAAAAAGAAAGACTGGGCCAGGGAGCAAGCAGCCTCTTCACCTTCTAATATTAGTTAACTGAGTCACTACGCGATTCTCCCCAATCCTCCGACGTCTTCTTCGTCGTAGTCGTAGTCGTTGTCGTTGTCGTTGTCGTCGTTGTCATTTGGACAAATAGTAGTATCAAGTCCGTTGGCACGGCATTGACACAAAATCAAACGTTTTCTCGGGTCACCGCGTTGACAACACAGGTCATTGAGTCCATGCGAAAATATTCCTTTTGACGTTTCCATACGGAAACTGTTTTGAGGAAACAGGTTTTTAACCCTCAATGAAATTGAGTTGTTAATATTGACGGAAATAGAAATTTATTTGGAATTTGTAAATAATATATGGTTAATTATTTTATATATGTTAATTTGATGAGAGAGAAATATAATTATATGATATTTTGATCCTAGTTTTCTTATTTTTATTGTTCTTCTTCTTCTTCTTCTTCTTCTTATCAACAAGTTTTATAATCGTTTAATTATTTTACTCGTCGTTCAATGTGTCTTGTTAACAATATCTTTGATACGAACATTTTAATTTAAGTTTTCATCGTAAATAAAAGTTTGAATAATTTGACGAGCTTTTGTATTTTTGTTATTGTTTAATCAAATCGATAAAAATCCTGAAGATTTGTTCTCTCGATGAAGACATAACGAAAGAACTTCGAACAAATCTCGCGGTATATCACGTAATTTCTAAATCAGGACATCGTGGCATACGGTGGTTGGGTTCTTTCGTAACGTCGAAGACGTTGGTCGTATTCCAACTTCCAAATTAGAATTGTGTTCTATGCTCGTGCTACACTCATAATGATTAAACGTCATTTTTAGAATGATGAATGCCGATCATGTTCAACGTTGTCTTTGTAAATTCTGATTGACTGCATTCATGAGAAATTACTTTCTTTTGTACACTGTCATTTAAAAGTATCGTTGATTCTAAACTCACACATAAGTTTCTTATCGATAGTTTTATAATAAACTTAACACACACACACACACATGTAGGTACAAATGCTTGAATATTGTTTCAGGAAAATATTTGTCGGAAAATAATTTTCAATAAATATTTTTAATCCTATATTTATACGTATATTTATAAAATCATTTTCAAAGGAGATACGATTAACTGGTATCAAAGAGAACGATTGACTTTATTAACCTTGGAAGATGTCGTTCATAAACGACCTGAAATAATGGCGGTAGCTTGCATTGCATAATAATCAACTAGCACCGTCGTCGTCGTCGTCGTCGTCGTCGTCGTCAAAGCGAGAGTGAAAGCAACTCTCGTCGTAGATGCTAGTTCTGGGCACATTAGAATCGTCTAACCGCAATGGTATGGCAGCTTATGATCGTATCTTCTATTTCTTACAATTAACTGTAGATAACCAATTATATGGTGCTGTATAACATAACGAAACTTTTATTTCGTTTCGTACATTCATCATACTGATATTATTCCGTAAAAGTAGTCAAAAATCATTTTCATCATATTTATTTATTTGGTTCCTCTTGTATTTCTAATTTAGCATACATCGTAATCGTAAAAATATTTCGGTAGAGGCTTTTTTTTTTAATGTGGAACTCAAGTCATTGCACCGATAAAATCATCTGAAGAAAAACAAGCAAGATGAATCGGGAAAAAAGAAGAAAAAAACTATTTATAAAAAGACACATTGAAATATACTGGGCTGTTATCGTTCGTTTTAAGCAGAGAAAGCTTAAAATAAGTATAAAAAAAAAAGAAGCATCTCAACGGCATCTGTTTCGATGCTTTTATTGTGAAGAAGAAGCGAAAGGGGAAATAAAGATAAGGCCTATAAAAATCCTCACTCAGGGGCATTACTTTCGTTCATCTTTAAACTATACGGCTTATGCTATAAATATATATATATATATATATATATGTGTTCATACACACATCGTAGTTTTGTGATTCACGATTGGATTCTCGTTCATCAAAAAATCCCTCTGATTATCTTCTTATCTTTTTGATCGCGTAATTTCTATTTCGTCTTAATGAGATTTTTCGAATTCGATAAAATCATGATAAAATAATCATATTTATTAAATTATCATTCGAAATTATTTTTATAATGAACGATAAAATAATCATTATTATTAGATTATTCGTTAGAATATTTTCAAGACGATAGGAAGACTAATATATGTTTAACATCGTTTATATGTATGTAGTTACATACATATATCGACACGTAAAGCATTTTAATATTCGATAGAGGAAAACATATCTATGCTTTAGGCACCCTAACTGACTAATCCCACTGTCCACAACTCTATCTAGTAGTCAATATCTATGCGTAGAATATCTCCTCCCTAGTATACACGATTACGTTACTGCTAGAAAACGTACGAGGAAACCATATAAATGATTAGGTGTGCGTGCACAGATATACAGTGTTTGGTAGTCGTTGTTGAAATATTTGCATATATACATTTGAAAAGAAATTATACAAAAAAAAATATTTCAAATAAAAAGAAATGATTTCATTTCTGCCAATTCATCGTCATCGTCGTCATCGTCGTCATCATCATCGTCTGAAACAGATCGCAACATTTTGACATTAGAAAACGTACGAGAAAACCCCATATAAATGATTAGGTGTGCGTGCACAGATATACAGAAGAAATTATACAAAAAAAAATATTTCAAATAAAAAGAAATGATTTCATTTCTGCCAATTCATCGTCATCATCGTCTGCAATAGATCGCAACATTTTGACAAGAAACTTATCTTTGTTTTCCATCGCATCATTAAAGTACACCCACGCTTAATAACCTCCCGTCAATTTATGTTTTCAAAAGATACAAACTTACACCTGTTCCCTGAAATAAGCGAGAAAGATTAGCACGAATCGACCTCGAACAAATGGCCAGCAGACGTTTTTACCCTGACATAAATAGGATTAATAATAATAATAATAATAATAATAATAATAATAATAATAATAATAATAATAATAATAATGCGTTAATTCGTATCTAATTATATCTTTTTTTGGAATGATTTTTAGTGTTGTCTTTGGGAAGGAGTCTCGATGTAACAGTACCAGAAATCGCTGATAAACAGCGTTATCAACGTCAACGTCAGAAGCTATTGGAACTTCCTCTAGATCGTCGGTATCAACAACAACAACAACAACAACGAGAACATTATAAACGTGGAATAGGAGGGGTTGAAGAAGAAGAAGAAGAAGAAGAAGAAGGTAACGAGGGAAAAAAAGGAAGAAGCTCAATGTCGACTCTAGTGTGCTGTGAGCCGGTGTCGGCCGGACGGCCGCGAGACAACCTGAAACTCGTTTTGAACCGCAGTTTGAGCGAGCCAGGTCCACCGGCGACGTCCTCGTGCTTCCTCTCGTCACCGACGTCGCCCGTATCGCCAAGTCCCTCGACTACCAGCAGCGTCGACAGTTGCATCACCGACGTTAGCGGAATAACCGACATTGCCAGCAGCATCAGCAGCACCACCAGTAGCAGCAGTAGTACCAGTAGCAGTGGTATCAATTGCAATAGTAGTGCCACCAGTAGCATCATCGATAACGAACCTCCTATTAGCAGCGATTTACATCGTCATTATCATCATCATCATTACCATCATCATCATCTTCATCATCATCATTACCATCAACACCAACTTCATCCTCTGTCAGCTTCGAAACGTTGTAAACTGGAGACGGTTAGCCTTCCCGCGAGTCCTTGCTCAGAGAGCAACAGTCTTCAAAAACAATTAGTTCTACAAAGAACCCGTACCATAACGCCCAATGAATTGGCTCAACGAATTCTTCAACATCAAACGAACAGCAGTCCTGTGCTCTTAGATTGTCGACCATTTATTATTTACAACGTCAATCATATCAGAGGTGCCATCAACGTTAATTGTTCCGATCGATTCAACAGACGACGTTTGCAATTGGGAAAAGCAACATTGGCCGATCTTGCTACTGCCAGAGAAGGCAAGGAAATCTTACGAAGAAAACAATACAGAGAAGTCGTCGTTTATGACGACTGCACCGCCGAACTGGAGTACCTTCCTATTCAACATCCCTTGTTTCTGGTATTGGCTGCTCTCGTAGAGGACAATCGAGAACCCGCTTTACTTATCGGTAAGTAATCCAATTATTTTCTTTTATCTGATCGTAATATAGATTAAATCGAATTATTTTCTCGTTATTATCAATAAACTATATCGTGTTAAGTAATTAAGGGTTTTGACAAATTGTCAAATATTTTCAATGTTTCTATTAGTTTGTAATTTTCAATGATCGCGTAGGTGGATGGATACTTAAGAACGATGATTCTCGTATATCGTGAAAAGATAATAGATTCTTAAAGAAGGAGAGAGAGTAACGTTGTTCTGTGATTAAAAGTTGCTTCGTACTAGTATAGAGACCTTGAGGTTTTTATCTCGATTTCATACTAACGTAGATACATATGTAGTCATATATATACACATTTGTCAACAGATAATTTTAATTGAAATATCATCCTTCGAGAAATAACAGATAAAAATGAAAATTAAGTACAAACAATAATTGTCTTCTTGAAATGAAAAATTAAATGTGGAAAAGAGAATGGTTGTTCATCGTCATCGTCATCGTCGTCGTCGTTTGCATGAAAAAGTTTCCACGCTCCGTTTTCGAACTTTCCGAAATAACGATGATGTTATTAGGATGATATTCTTGCCCGTTACTTCTACAGCCAACCCCACCAAACAACCGCCTCCGTATCTTCTAACGCGTGTAAATTTTCCCACGTTATTTTTTTTTTTCATCCTCATTTTACCCGCACCATTTTCGTTTCTTACGAACGTTGCCAAGATGAGAAAGAACTTTTGTCTTTTGAGACAATTTCGTCACGACGCACACAGTCCAACTCTATTTCAATATTCATTTTAATTACATTTTCAACGAAATCAAAGTTTAAATTGTTATTTATTTTAATTATATTTCTAATATAATAAAATAATATATTTTATATATATTATTAGTTGTGTGGCATTAGGAACTTGAAGGTTCATTGCAGCAAATACCGAATTCCGCCATTGTTCCTGTCCCTGAGCGCGATCCTTCCATTCGCGGTCTTTATATCCTATTTATATATTATATTAATATTAATATATACAATATTATATTATATATATTTATTTAATTATTTATATATATTTATATTAATATTATATTAATATATATATATATAAATATAAAATAATAAATATAATATAAATAATAAATATATATATTTTATATTATATTAATATAATTATTTTAATAATTTTAATATTTATTATATTATTAAATATTAATAATTACTATAAATTATATTACTATAATATAATTTTATTATATTTATATATTTTATATATAAATTATTTTATATATAATAATTGTATATATATTACTATAATAAATATATAATATATTGTAATTTATTATATTTCTAATATAATAAAATTAAAATATTCTTCTTTCTTTTCAAATATTTCTAATTTCTAACAAAAAAAACAAAAATGGTTTCTTCAATAATTGGATTCAATGATATACTGAGAGAACAACAATTATGTTAAATGTTTTTCTCGTTTTGCACGAGGAAAGAAAAAAAAAAAAATAAACTAGATAAAAAATAATAGACTATTCTAGTTGGTGATTCCGGTGCGTGGACTTTTAAATGAAATTCAACTCTCTCGATATTGCGTAAACGTCAAGTCCCGGAGTTGAATGGAAAATGTTGAAGAGGAAACGTGGGAGGAGGAAGAAGAGTTTGAGGAAGGGGGTGTGAAGGGGATAGAACGTGCGATAGTCACCTACGAGCCGCGTATCACCACTAGGTCATAATCCTCTTAACAACCGGTAGTCAACTAACAATAAAACTCACATGTACACATGCATGCGTTACTATAATTCGAGCGTTACTTATTTATACTGACAACTAAACTCGTACTACTTTTTTTTTTATTTTTTTTTTTTTTACATCTGTCTATATTCTATAATTAAAAGATTATGGGGTACTGAATTTTATCTCTCTCTCTGAAAATGTTTATATTTATTTCTTACCATATGGATAATTATAAGTAAAAGAGTAATACATTTTATTTGAAATATATTTATATTGCTGACATATAAAATATATATGACATATATATATATATATATTTTTTTTTTTTTTTGTTTGTTTGCAACAACATTTCAATTAAAAGATATGTAAATTAAATATATAAATAAAAACAAAATAATAATATTTATATATTTATATAGATGACGAGTTTCACTTTCAGTCTCACTCATTAACCCAATGACTGCCAACTACGAGATATCTCGTAGTGTGTGTTGCAATTTTAGATTAATTACAAATAGTTATTTTCGTAAGGAATTATTAAAAAGGTTGAAACAAAATATTTATATGATGTAACAAACATCAATTATCAACTATTGTAAATACTATTACAATATTATATCAGTAACTTAATAATATTATATTTTCAATAATTAAAAGCAAGACGCTCTAAATATGTCTGCCAGTCAAAGGGTTAACCCTCACAAAGGGTTAATCAAAATAAAAAATATGTTAAATACGTTTTCTAAGAATTAATAATAAAACACATTTTCTCAAAAATATTCGATATAAGTAACGTTGAGTTAATATAAGTGTTAAAATACATTCAAAGATAGAGTTTGATTTTATTTTCTTTTTTTGTTTTTTTTTTTTTTTACCTCGACATGAAATAAAACGGTATAATTAGCGGATAAAAATTGTTGATAAAGAATATACAAGGTCGATAATGGGGAAAGGAACCGGTTGTTGATAAATTGACCGCCTAACGAGCAACCCCCTTGTTCCGTCGTGCTCTAATTAAATAACTTTTGACTAAATGGTATCTCATCCTTGATACTATCAAAAAAAAAAATGATAATTACAAGAAAATACGTTTACGTAAAAATTGTAACACATTTGTATCCTTTTTTACAATGCAATTATTTCATTCGATATTCGTATCAAAATTGTGTTAAAACGAAACTTAAATATGAATAGAAATAGAAGAGAAATCAAACGTATGGTATAATTTTGATTTCACAAAATGCATTTCATGATATTTTCATACGAGGTAAAACAAGTTTGAAAGGTAATAATGGCTTTAAAGATATTTAACATGTTGGCATGTGGAAGTATGGTAAAACGTGTCATTATTTGACGTCAAATTAAATACGATAGTTACTTTTCACGTTAAGATTTTTTTTTGTTTTTTTTTTTTTGGTACTTTTCTAGTTCTTGTATTTAGTTCGTATTTTATCACAATATCGATGTGCATTTCCGGTTATATTACTTTACTAAAAAAAAAAAAAAATTTTAGGACGAAAAAGGATACCTTCGAGTATTTCAATATTAATTATTTTTATTATTATTATTATTATTATTATTAATTTAATTTTATTTTATTAATTTACTAATTTTTATTTACTAATATTATTAGTAAATAATAATATTTAATATTTATTACTTATTATATATTATTATATTTAATAATAAGTTAATATTAATTTTATTCTAACTGTTTTTATAAACTATTAAATTTAAATTAATATTAATCTAATATAATATTAATAATAATAAATAAAGTAATAATATTTAAATACTTGAAGTTATCTTTAATAATATTAATAATAATTATAATATTATTAGTTTTAACATTTAATTAATTAATATTAAATTAATATTACTAATATTATTATTAATATTATCGACAACATAATATGTATATTAAATTTCATCAATTTCACCCCCTAAATTTGGGACCCAACCCCCCGCTCCCTCAATTGTGTTTAATCAAAAAACAATCCTTATCATATTATAATTATCTATCATATGTGCATTTAAAAAAATCCTTTGGCAAATACGTGCCTGGAAGAATAAAAAAAAAAAAAAAATCACTTGATAGAGAATAAAAACAGAGAAGAAAGATAGATGATAAAAAGAGAGATAGAGATAGAGAGAGAGAGAGAGAGAGAGAGAGAGAGAGAAAGAGAAAGAGAAAGAGAGAGAAAAAAAGGTGAAGAGGTGCTTAAAGTCATCGCGACTTAGTCGACGTATATACACGCTCAACGGCCGAGGCAAAAGGTGGGGATCTATTCATAGGGAATGACTCACGTCGAAGATGACGTCGCGAATAGTCGGCCAGAATTTGCGCACTACACGTTTTTGCTACTACTAAACACACACACACATATATACACACACACACATATATACACACACGGACGAAAAGAACACACCTATAAACTTCTCTCTTTCTCTCTCTCTCTCTCTCTCTCTCTCTCTTTACGCAAATGTATATATATATGCATTTATGTAGAAATATATTTGTATGAGTGCACTTATTTGTGTTTTTTATGTGTATGTGTGTGTGTGTATGCGTATATATTAAAGCAACGGGATGCGTACGATCTCATTTCCGATTTTCCTTTCGTTTGGCAAAGAAGAAATTTGGTGACTTGCGCATGCTCGCAAACGATCGAGAGAGAACGGAGCCAACGAAAAAGAAGAAGAAGAAGAAGAGGAAGAAGAAGTCGATGACCGTTTCCAATGTCTCTTTCTCTTTCTCTTTTTCTTTTTCTTTTTATTTTTCTTGTTCTTTTTCTCTTTCTGTCTTTCGTTTCTTCATCGTCGTCGTTTTATTGCGACCGCGTTTTCGGCGAACTCACCAATGAATCTACAAACTAACTTCCTGTTCCGTATTCTTTCGTATATTTTAACGAGTATTCAATTTTCTTCATTTTATTCAACGATCGATCATAGTTTTTTTCGATCAGTTTTTTTTTTTTTTTTTAATTCAATTTTATATGCACAATATTTGTTATTTTATTGAAAACTATGCGATCCACCCTAGTAGCGCAAAATATTGTGCGTGTATTCACGTGTATTCAATATTTTTCAATATTTTGTACTACTAGGGCATTTTGATTTATTAGGTTTTTTTTTCTATCATACATTATTCAATTTTATATGCACAAGATATTGTGCATAATAACAAATAAAATAATAAATAGTTATTTTAATATTTGTAATTTTATCGAATACTATACGATCTATTTTGATCTATCACATGTGTTTT